GAGAACCCAGGTGACCTGACTGCCAGCCCCCCTCACTTTCACCTACTAGATCCCCCCTTCCCTCCCAGAGCTGGGGATAGAGCAGGGGTTCTCAAACTGGGGGTCAGGACCCCTCAGGGGGTCACGAGGTTATTACATGGGGGGGTCACGAGCTGTCAGCCTCCATCCCAAACCCCACTTTGCCGCCAGCATTTATAATGGTGTTAAATATATAAAAAAAGTGGTTTTAATTTATAAGGGGGGGGGGTCGCACTCAGAGACTTGCTGTGTGAAAGTGGTCACCAGGACAAAAGTTTGAGAACCACCAGGATAGAGCCCAGGAGTCCTGGCTCCCAGCGCCCCCAGCTCTAACCCACCCAGCCCCACTCCTGCATTGGCTTTGACCCCTGTAAAACTCCAGGATTACTCGTTATATCCCCATTCCCATCAACCCTCTTATCTGGGGGGTGGGTCAGAGACCCGGGCAAAGGAAGCAAGCTCTGCTCCCTCCCCCACCCATGCTTAGAGGGGCAATTAAGCTCGGAGATAGTGCTTGGCAAAGGTTAAAGATAAACACTCCTGTGCCGGGAGTGGTGAGGGGGGAAGGGACACACCCCAGAAGGAACTAGGACTCCTGGGTTTTATCCCCAGCTCTGGGAAGGGAGTGGGGTCTAGTGATTTGGACAGGTGGGTGGGAGCTGGGAGTCATTCTGAGAATAACATCTGGACCCAAATCCCACCACCCAGAATCATGATTGAAAAGCCCCTCCCCAAGCCCAGGCTGCGTGCAAACCTACTCCCCCTAGAAGGGCTCACACACCCCTGCTGTACACCAGCCTGCAGTGGGCACTACACAGATACTGACTTTTGGCTCCCCTGCCCTGGCACCTGCAGCTCTGACCCTACGCAGGGGAGGTTGGGTCCCCCACCCCATGTCTCTGGAATGTGCCCCAGATAGTGGGGAGGCCCAGGCTGTGAATCCTTCCCCCACCTTATCTCCAGAAAGCAGCCAGGCAGTTCCCTGGCCTGCAGGGCGGGTCCCAGGGGCGCTGGGGAGAGAACTTTCGGTTTGGGTGGCGTGTCAGGGCCAAGGGCAGCGTGGAGGGTGTGTGCGTGTGTGTGTGCATGTGAGCTCCCCACTTCCTGGAGATACAATGGGGCAGGGCGGGGGAAGTGCGTGATGAGCCCATCCCAAAGGGAATCAGTTTCCAGGAATCCCGGCCTATGCCACAAACCTCAGCCCTGCACTGAGAGTCAGGGCATGTTGGAAAGAACCTTGTCCCAGTCAGAGAGAGAGAGGAGGGGAGGGCGGAAATGGCTGGCTGTAGGGTATGTGTCTGGCCAGCTGGTGTGGATACAGACCGATAGGTAGATGAGTGGGGGGATGGGTGGAGAGGGAAGTGGACAGCAATGGATGTATGGATGTATAGATGCGCTGGCTTTCCATGTGTCCTCCTTTCCAAATGGTCAGTCACATTCGTCGCTCAGCACTTTGCTCTTAAATGCAGGTCGCTGGAGTGGGCGCAGCTTGGCCTAAGAGAGGGGTATCTCTGCTAGACAAAGGGTTTCTTCCCAATGCCTCCCTAGAAAGAGGAGACCCTCACAGCCAGAGCCCTGGGGATCAGAGCCCTTGGCTGTAGTGGGAGCTATACAGTCCTTTAACCCTCCAGGGCCCTGCCTCAAAGTGAAATTCAGCTCCTGGCCACCTCTTATCATCAATGATCTTGTATGTCATGTGTCCAAAGCAAATGCTAATTCAGGGACACTCCATGCTCCCTCCCTAAATGCCCCCTGCCATTTCAGTGAGATACAGGATTCTTCTGCACTAAGCTATTGGGCAGCATTGTTAAACAATTCCCCACCCCATCCCAGAGGTGGCCGCATCTCAGCCCCAGGGCCAGGGAGAGGTCCTGGTATAAACAGCCCCTGTACTCCATCCCAAAGGCGGTGGCATCTCAGCACTGGGCGAATCAGCCCGAGGGATGAGGGCGCCACTTAGTGGTCAGTTGGCAGAAGTGCAGCTTCTTAACCTTCTCCCCCTTGGAGCCCTGTCCTTGATCTTCCCCATGTGGCTGAGGGGAGGAATTGGGAGTTTATTCCTTGTACCCCAGTGCTCCATCCCCTTCTCCTGCCACCCGGAACAAAGGTGCATGAATGGAAGGGGCTGAGACACTCTCCCCCCACAGGCTAACTGCAAGTAGTGCAACATACAGACATAGCCCCTCAGCTTCATACCCTAGCCCAGCGGTTCTGGCAACAAAATTACTACATGACCCTGGGGGAGGGGGCGGAGACAGAGCCCCACAACTCTGGGTGCGGGTAGAGCTCAGGCTTCAGCTCCATGTCCCCAGCAAGTCTAATGCTGGCCAGGCCCTGGTGACCCTATTAAAATGGGATTGCAACCCTCTTTGGGGTCCCAACCCACAGTTTGACAACTGCTGAGGCCTAACCCATCTTGCCCTCAGGATAGATCCACTGCCCACCTTTGGGGCACAAGTCTGATTCCTCTCCCCTATGCTTGGAATTTACTCCCTTCTGCTATTCATCTTTGGCCAGCAGGGGTCACTCCATCTATAGCTCAGCCCATGCAGCAATTGGTAGCAGAGTAGAAAAGCCTGACCGACCTGCATCTCCCAGACTTGGCTATCAGAAAAGGCCCTGTAATAGCCAAAGCGCATCCTTGAATCCACAGGTCTAATTTCCCCTCCCCATTTCGCAGGGGGAGACATGCCTTTAACCAGTTCAGGGAGCCACTCACACTGGGCTGATGGGCAGGAGCTTTTCTTGACACCACTGTAAAGTCCCATTCATTGCCCCACCCCACCAAAGGCTTTGCCACACACACACACACCAGTTCAGCATTTCATTCTTTTTATTGGGGATACGTTGGTTGCTGCATTTGGATTACAATCCTCAGAGTTGCCTCTTTGGGAAGACACCAAGACTGCAATGCACAGTGCTGCATTACCTAGAGTTACACCTAGGGGGAGACACACACTGCAATGTGCCTGGACTACAATGCCTGGCTCTGCCCCGAGGGGGAGACATACACACAGTGCAATGTATATGGGCTGCAGTGCCTGGCTCTCCCACTAGGGGGAGATAGCTGTACAGCAATGTACATGGGCTGCAACGTCTGTCTCAGCCCTTACTTGGAAATGCACATGTAACCCCTGTTTGTGTTTTTTTCTGGGGAGCCTTGGAATTTCAGGGTCTGGCGTTGCTCCTTCCCCAAGCCCTGTTGGTGTTTCCCTGAAGCTTCCTAATGGTCTGCTGCAATCTCTGAGATACCCTTGCATGATCTGTCTTGTTTTGGCAGTCCAAGGCACAGTGACCATCTCTTCCACAGTTATAACAGAAACCTTCTTGCTGGCTATCACCCTTCCTGCTACTCTCCCCTCTTGAGGATGGCACAGTATGTCCCTGAGCCTTCATCATGACCACTTCTCGGGTCAAATCTCTCAGTGCTGCTGCCACTGACGGGGCATCTTCCATCTCTCCAAGCACTGTGGTGGTGCGACTCCCTGCCATCTTCGGCTGCACCATTGCATCCACTTGCAACAATCGCTCCTCCTCTTCACGTATCTCTCGAATGAGCTTGTGGAATGGGAGTGGGTTTTGGGCCCGCTCCCTCAGCTGCAGGCGCCACATCAACCTATCTTGTCGGGTGCCCCAAAGGATTTGGTCCAACCTAGCAGAATCAATGCGCTTGGTGGGGATGCCCTCCTTCCGCACTACCTGCTGTAGCAAATCCTCTAGTCTCCTGATGAAATCCAACAATCGTTCGTGGGGCTCCTGATAGGTATGGCAGAAACGATAATACAGGTCTTCACTGCTATCAGTAGTACTGTAGACATTCTCAAGAGCGGTTAAATAGTCTTGCACTGTGGCAGCTGGTTGTGAGTCTTTCAGGGCTCAGATAATTCACATGGCAGGTCCCCTCAGACTCTCAAGCACACGTTTCCGCTTCTCAGCATCAGAGCATTCCCACTCTTGGACAAGTGGCACTGTAAAATCCCTCCAGATCTCGTAATCCTCCTCTCCTGGGGGTACAGGTGACACCCCCGAGAATGAACGTAACCGCTCGTATGGAGCACTTTCATATACCGGCTTCAATGCATTTTTGAGAGCGTTTCCCAGCTCTTTGGCCCATCCCACCAGGCTGGGTGCTGCAGGTGTTGGAGCCCCTCCTAATGCCAAAATTAATTATTCTCTTGTCCGCTTCTCACCCACCATCAGAGCTTGCAATTTCTGCGCTAAAGAATCCACCTCAAGTGACACAGGCACACTAGGAGGGGACTGCTCTG